CGTTCCCGCCGGGATCCCTGGCTAGTTTACACCCAAAATAACTACACGGAAACTGTATTCTTTTAAACACTGCCAGGCCCATTAGCTCTAGCCTCTTATTGGTTAATTCTTACATATTGATTCAACCCATTTCTAATAATCTGTATGTCACCACGAGGTGGTGACTTACTGGGAAAGATTCAGCATGTCTGACCTGGCGGCTGGTTCCATGGCGTCTTGACTCACATCTCTTCTTCCCAGCATTCTATTTGATCTACTCCACCTATCTAATTCCTACCCTATCAAAAAGCCAAGGCAGTTTCTTTATTAACCAATGAAAGTAACATATAGACAGATGACCCTCCTACATCAAATAGCTCTGAAAAGACACACGCGCACGCGCGCGCACACACACACACATACGCATTCACGCACACATGCACGCATGAGGCTTTGATCACCATGAGTTCTTTCATCTACCTGGAAAATGTAGAGGTTGCTCCCTTTCTATCTGAAGTTCTAAGTCTAAGCTGGGCATTGCCTTCAGGGAATTTGTGATCCTACTAGGGCTAAGACGAACATTAGAAAATAAAACCTTAAAAGCTTACTCCCTTAAAAAAATAAGCCTTGGACTGGAGAGATGGCTCAGTGGTTAAGAACACTGCCTGCTCTTCTAAAGGTCCTGAGTTCAATTCCCAGCAACCACTTGGTGGCTCACAACCATCTGTTATGAGATCTGGTGCCCTCTTCTGGCCTGAAGGCATGCTTGCAGTCAGAATACTGTATACACAATAAATAAAGCTTTTTTAAAAAAATAACCCACAAGCACTGGGGAGGTAGAGGCAGGCAGATCTCTGAGTTCAAGGCTGGCTTGGTCTATAGAGTGAGTTCCAGAAGAGAGAGACAGAGAGAGAGAGAGAGACAGAGAGAGAGAGAGACAGAGAGACAGAGAGAGACAGAGAGACAGAGAGAGAGAGAATAACCGACTGGTAAAGCACACTAATTTCATATTTAAGTTAGTTATTACTGGGAGCAGAGATGTCTGAGAGGTCTCAGAATCAACCACTGAAAGACAGCAGGAAACTTTTCTTTCCCTGATGGGAAGTTACTCTAAATTTTAGAGTTTGAAATATGAAACTAGACATTTTCTGGTTGGTTCTACAAAAGCTATTGTGGGCAGAGGTCACTGGGAACCCACATGGTGGAAACTACCTTGTGCCAGCCTGGCCCTCCTTAGGCATTCTCAGGGGCTCAGAGACCCCACGCCCACCCCACCCCACCCCAGCTATGTGGTTAGCGTGAGTTGTGCTCTCTGTGGCCTGATTTCTGATTGGTTCTTCCCCTTACACATGTCTTGATCATTTGTTTTCTAACCTGGCTCACTGCCTGGGCTGTAACAGTTGTGAGCTACCATGTGGGTGCTGGGAACCTAACCCAGGTCCAGCCAGTGCTCTTAACTACTGAGCCATTGCTCCAACCTCACACCAAATGATAATTAAAAAAAAAAAAAAGAAACAGCACAGAAATTGACCAACCACAGGAGTGATTTCCTGAAGCTAATCTCTTCTTGCACTGATATTGCCTTGAATTTCTCCTTTTCCTCCCTTCCCTGACTGCCACC